TTTTTAAAAAAATTAAATAATATTTATATATTAATTTAAAAACTTAAAAAAACTAAAAACTTAAAAAAAAAAACTAAACGGATATGGGACATCCGTTGAAGAATTTTTTCTTCAACGGATATCGACATCCGTTCAAGAGAAAAGGAGGAGGTATAGGATATTTTAAAATATAAAGGATAGTTTTGGAATTTAAAAAAAGTGTGGTGGTGCAGGGAGCAATGTGTGGTGGTGTAGGGAGTAACCCTCCAATATAAATAATACAGTTATTATTATATTTGAATGAAATATTAAGTTTTATCATTTTTCTTATAAATTATGATCATTTCTAATTTTTAGATAGTTGAAATCAGTGTTAATATATTATATGATTTATGAGTATACAATCTGTTCAATTTTATTCCAATATTTTTTGTTACCGCAATATAGATAATTTAGATGAAGTAACATATTTGCATGATAAAGTATCCTTTATTATAAAAAATATTCAAAGAAATTGTCCTATAATAACACTGATCGTGTTGATAAGAAATCTGAGTTAGTATTAAAGAAATGATTAAAGAAATCTGAGTTAGTATTAAAGAAATCTGAGTTACATGTATTTGGGTAGACCAATATGTATTCGATTAGTCCGTTATGGTGGTAAGTTAGACAATGCATGTTGGGTGTACTTAGGTGGATATATTCGGATGGTTATAGAATATATATTGACATGATTGAAGGGTATTCAGTTATATATAGCATAATAGCCCAACCCTCTAGACTTAACTCGCTCGATGTTGAAGTCTTGTAAAATGCCGCCATCATGTTGGACTTTGGTCTTTGTCGTAGTGGCCATGTGCAAAGCAAAATTTGTATTTCTGTGGTTATGTACCCCGATAGGTATAACCCCAAACCTCAAGAAGCGTAACGACAAAGATGTTGAAATGAGAAAGTGTCAAGATTGACTTGACGTGGGAGGTAAATGGTTATCAGACTGCATATGAAATGAAGCAAAACTAAAGAGGTGAAGAGTCATGGCCCCTAGGTGTAAGATTTGAAGAGATCTAAGGGTTGAAATGAAGAGATGGGAAGATGAACAGTTCCCAATTTTGCTATAAATAAGAGGCTCATTTGCCTTAGTTGAACACCAAGTTTTTGAGAATTTGCTATGTTGGTGATATCTTGTGGAAGAAGTTCATCACTTGAGAGTCGACTGTTAACAAGTATGTCACCTATGTGGGTCGAACATAAGATTTGGGGAGAAGACAAATAATGATAGTAAGCACACCTCAATGTCCTTTGATGCATCATCATCCGGAACTTTGATGGTGGAAATGAAAGTGATTACGGAGAATAGAGCGAATCTTTTTGAGGAGGATACTGAGTCCAAACTACCTTGGCAGGGAGTGAGGAGCTATATGAATGGACAAATCCTTTGGTGAATAATCATTTTTCCAAATTTAAGTAGTAAAAAATATTGAACTCTTGGGCTTAATAGTGTATATATATATATATATATATATATATATATATATATATATATATATATACTTGTATTTCTGAATTTCAAAAATCGTTCAAAAATCGTGTTGACAATGTATTGACAGTGATTTTAGATGCTTCCATTCATGTTAGCAACTCATTTACATTTAGTGGCGGGGTAACATAATTCAAGTCTACAACCTTCTTTATCCTAATTACATAGTAAGTCCGTTAGGTGAATCCTTCTTTGAATTTAAAAATTTTAATCTGCTCTGGTAAGAAATAAAGTATGCATTCCAAAGTATATGGCAGAGCTAGTGAGGCCATTGATGTCAGACAACTTTCTCAATTGCTTCATGACTGTAAGTTTATAATATCTATTACTTTAGAAAGTGTAGTATTTTGCTATGGGTTAATATTGTAATATATGTAATTAACTATATGCAGGACTACATGTTGCTCAAATTTTGGGTGAAGTCTTTACCATTATGAAAAAAACATATCTTCATGCTTATTATTTAGCTGTTTTAGCATTAGGGCTAGTTCCTTATGCATCAAAGGCATTGAAGAAAGGCAGAAAGAAGCACTTATTGTCTAATAAGCAAGGATCTCTGTGCACCTATCAGATTACATGAACTGGAAGATCTGCATCAGAATGTTACTTAAGTTGTGGGTCGAAGTAGTTAAATATAGCAATGGTTGCAACGGTCACACAACATAATTCCTATTATCAATAAGCAATGCGAATGTCAAAATAATAAAGTCAAAATACCAACACAAGAATTATTTTGTTTAACAGATCAAATACACAATTTTATAGTTCAAAGAGCAATGAACACATACCAAATAACATATTAGAACAATAATCTTCGTCAACTATCTCCTTCAAACTTTTGAACTCAGCTTTTCAAGGAAATATTTGGTATTGATTGAGATTTTATAATTGTGGCACCAACAAATAGTAACTTACAGAAATGCTGACATACTCAATATTGGCTTTTATTCTTTAAAAATTTAAAATTGTGCATATCATAAGTATCACCTTCGACCATCTTGGGTTTCCACAAATCAAAATCTTCCCCATTTACCATTACTGGTATTTTGTCACCCTGCAAATAAGTTGTAAAAATAAGTACATGTACATAAAGATATGAAAATAAAAAAATGTAATTTACCTTATCATCTATGAGAATCATTTCCATACATTTACTGCTATCGTCATTAACCACCCCCCTTGTATGAAAATCAAGTGATTTTTCTTAAAAGATTGGTAATCATGTGAAGGGTTTTTTACACCCTTATACTCAACCATTAAAAAAATAAATAAATAAAACTAATAGTTATTTCTTTAAATTCGACCTAATTCGAGTCTCCATATTGTTTTATATATTTTTTTTCAGTGCTAATAATAAACCTATATTTCTCTTCCATTGTAAATCTCATCCCTATAATTAAGTCACCATCAAAATCAATGTTATAGATTTGAAGAGCAGAAATATTGGTCTGTTATATATTGCCTCAAAGTGGGCTATTCTTTTCTTCTCTCTCTTTAAGAACAAGCAATGGATCGGCTTTTATTTCCTTCACCCCCATCAATTGTTTCCCCCACTCCCTCAAATTTTCAAATTATCATTATATCCGTTGTAAAAGTGATTTCCCAAATAAATATTTCAAAAACTTTTCAGAATAAGTTTTTTTTCTAGAATTTCTGAAATGATATTTTCAGAAAATAATTTTCTGAAAAAAATATCGATATATATGATTTTCGAAATGAAATTTTTAAAATTTTTGAATGAAATTTTCCAAAATGCATATAATACCTTTTGAAATAAAAACAGTGGTGATGATGTAAGCAGTGAGGGCGGCTGTAGGTGGCAGCTGTGGTGGTGGTGGTGGTGAAAGGTGTTTAAGACTTTTTCTCTTATTGTAAGTATGCAATTAGTAATTGTGGGAGTGCACGAAGCAGTAGGTCAATGGGTCTCACACCGAAAATGGGTTGGCACTCAGGGATCACTTGGAGGCAGAGACGGACAAAAACATTATTTGTTTTTCAAAAGATCTAAATCTAAAAGTTATATGTATATATATAAAAAAATTAAATCTTAAGTTTTTTTTTTTATGTATTTTTGTAAGATTTGATCATTTTTGTGTTATAGTAGAGTCAGCATTTGTATGATTTGAAAAATGTATGTTTTAAGGAAGAAGTTTAGGCATTAATGTTGTAAGGAGGGGAGGGAGAAGAGTGTTTGTTGGAAAGAAGCATGCCTCTCCAACATCAAGCCATGAAATACATGAAAGAAAAGCCCTCCATTGTTATTCCCTCAAAAACTCCACCTTCTTCAACTCCCTTAAACCATCCATACATTTCACAAATCCTCTCCACACCCAACTGGGCTCTGTTACTAAACCACCACCTCTTCTCAAACCCCCTCCTCCTCAACCCTCGCTCCGCCGTAACCGTCTTCCACAACCAACGCAATGCCTCCCACGCCATCAAGTTTCACGCCTGGCTTTCGCATGTCAACCCCGCACTCGCCACGCATCCCTCAGTGCAACGCGCTCTTCTGAACACTCTGCACCTTAACGGCCCCGCGGTGCTGTCGCTCGAGTTGCTCCGTGACGTTCGCAATTCCGGGTTTCGGCTCACCGAGGACCTGCTCTGCGTGTTGATTGGAAGCTGGGGAAGGCTCGGTTTGGCAAATTACTGTGCTCACGTTTTCGGTCAAATCTCATTCTTGAGTCTCACCCCTTCCACTAGGTTGTACAACGCTCTTATTGACGCTTTGGTGAAATCCAATTCAATTGACCTTGCTTATCTCAAATTCCAACAAATGCCTGCTGATAACTGCCGCCCCGATAGAATTACCTATAACACCCTCGTTCACGGGGTTTGCAAGATTGGCGTGGTGGATGAGGCGCTTCGGTTAATCAGACAGATGAACGATAAGGGACTTTTTCCTAATGTCTTCACTTATACAATGCTTATTGATGGGTTTTGTAATGCCAACAGGGTTGGTGAAGCATTTGGGGTTTTTGAGATGATGAAGGAGAGGGGAGTTGCTCCTAATGAAGCCACTGTGAGAGCGTTAGTCCACGGGGTTTTTCGCTGCTTGGATCCAGGTAAGGCACTTGATATGTTGTTATCTAAGTTTTTAGATAGGAAGCTGGAGCAGGAGGAGCGTGCTCATTTTAAGTTAGCTTGTGATACTGTGTTGTATTGCCTTGGGAATAATTCTATGGCGAAAGAGATGGCTGTGTTTCTGAGGGAGGTTTTGGGAAGAGGTTATGCCCCTGATAGCTCTATTTTTAATGTCATAATTGCTTGTTTGGTTAAGGGAGCCGAGCTGAGAGAGTCGTGTGACATATTTGAAATTTTGAGAAACCGAGGTGTGAAGGCAAGCACTGGTACATACCTTGTACTTATGGAGGCGTCGTATAAAAGAGGATGGAGGGAGGACGGGGATCGAGTTTTTGGTCAAATGACCAGTGATGGGCTAATTTCTAGTGTTGTCTCATATAACATGATAATCAATAGTTTGTGCAAAGCCAAATTGACGGATAATGCGTCAGAGGTTTTCAGAGATATGCAGGTTAGAGGTTTTGTTCCCAACCTTGTTACTTTCAATACGCTTATTAATGGGCATTGCAAGGAAGGAGAAATATTTAAGGCACAGGAGCTGCTGGAGATGCTTTTAGAAACTGGGCTTAAACCTGATATCTTCACTTTTAGCTCTATAATTGATGGACTCTGTCGAATAAAGAAGACTGAGGAAGCTTTTGGATGCTTTACAGAGATGATTGAGTGGGGCATCACTCCAAATGCCGTCATTTACAATATCTTAATTCGGTCTTTTTGTGCCATTGGGGATGTTGCAAAGTCAGTGAAACTATTAGGAAGAATGCAAAAGGAAGGAGTAAACCCTGACACCTACTCCTATAATGCTTTGATCCAAATCCACTGTAGGATGAATAAAGTTGATAAAGCTAAAAGGCTTTTTTATTCAATGTCAAGATCTGGCTTGAATCCTGACAATTACACTTATGGTGCTTTTATAGAGGTACTCTCTAAATCTGGGAGATTAGAGGAAGCCAAGAAGATATTTTACTCAATGGAGGCAAACAGTTGCTCTCCTGATTTGTATACATGTAACTTGATTATTAAAATATTGGTTCAGCAGAACTGTACTGAAGAGGCACGAAGCATCATGGAAAGATGCAGACTTAAGGGAATATCTTTAAATTCTATTCCTAATTAGTGAGACTAATTTCCTACTAATTTCTCGGATGCTACTACATTATTGAGCTTTTGAATATGATGATATCGATTCTGGGTATAGAGGTACCTCAGATTATAAAGCCCTGTTCATATGGATATCTTGTTATATAGTGGGACAGAAGAATTATTTGTGTTTATGTATGGATGTACTTTTTTGCCATTTCAACACCAACAGAAAAGAGTACAATAAGGAATTCATTTTTTCTTCTTTAGTCGGTGACTCTCCATCATCGTTTTTAGAAAGAGCTTGATCTAGAGGCTGCTCTTCCGCCCTTCTTACAAAGATCTTGATCTAGAAGCTTTGATGGACGTGGCTTGGTTATCGTGTTATACCATACTTCTAGTCTTGCTATGCTTATCTTATTAATTGTGCTGTTGTTCTGGAGGCAACAAACAACACCTTTTTCCTCTGTTTTCTCCATTAATGGATTAACATTGATCACCTAACAAACACCAACATTAAACAGTGGAGGTTATGTCAAATCACCACAGCCAAGAGCTCCATCTTTCACTTGTGACCCATCCTGCACATTGAAGAGCTCGAATTTGATGGCACTCTTGACTGGAAAACCTGGGATACCAAATTTCGTGGTTGTGGCTGTCGCTTATGATGTTAATAGTTTTATTGGACAGGGTTTATATTAGTTCTAAACTAATATTTGTTCTAGACTATTATTAGGGGTGTGTATCATACACGTATCCCTTTATCGATGAAGTATAACATCTCTCTCTTGTCGTCCTTCTTCACTTCCAGCCCACCCACCCCAAATAATTTAAACTGGCTCCATATAGCTTTCCTCCTAATAGCACTGGTCACTGGGTCCGTATGCAGCTTGTTGCATTTTCCTTTCAATTTTACATGGTAACAGTGAATTACTTCTGTAGCATATTCGTGTAATGAATCTTCATCTTCAAAGATCACATCTATAAAACTGGTATTATTTTTATTCCTTGACCAAGGTGCATTTATTATTAGAAGTTATAACCTTATTTGTTGTGAAGGAAGGATCTGTGTTAGCTACTTCTAGACTTTGTGTTAGCATTTTATCGAGTTTTGGGACATTATAAATCATCTGATATGAAGATGCTGGGTATAAGAGGACTTCTGATTTCCCAAAGAGCATTTCAGTGAAACCATGCAGCCAAGTTCTATGTTAAATTACATTTATTGTTTTTTGCAACTTGTTAACATATGTACTTTCACTGTTAATATTATTTTGAACATGAAATTCAATGAACTATATGTGACACTGGTATTACTAAAATTTTCAGACCGAGGTTTATCAATGTAACTTTTCTTTTATTCATTGCAGGTTGAGTATGGCCAGTTTCTGAATTGCCTGAATAATTCAACTCCTTTCTCAATTGTGGCTTTATCGACCATAAAGTCTTAATGATCAATATTTGAGTTGTGGTGGTCCTAACGAGACTGATCATCCTGGTGCAATATTTCAGTCATAATGAAATTCAATTGTATGCTTCCATTCAGGTAATTTTATGTCTAACAAACAACAATGGACACGTTTGTTTCATATATCTTTTTACCATCCACTAATGCTGTCGTCGTCCATCTTTTATGATGTTCATGCATAAATGTTATATTTGTACTAGCCTAGCGGATAGTACTTGTCCAGTAACTATGTTTTATTTTTATACCCTTTTTTCTTTTATATTTCACAATGTAATGGTATTTGTTGCAATATAGTAAAACATAGCGAGTAGAACATCTATCTTAAGTCAGTGAAAAACAAACTCTCTGTACAATTTCTTTTGTTCGAATCTTATTTAAATTTCATCAATTGATGATATACAGAAAAATGATAGCTGATTATATTCTCAACTCTCAAATTTGCTAAGTTGTACTCTCAAATCTTGGTTGCTTACTTTCATTGCTTGACAGAATTGTCTCAAGATATTAGCGGCCTCAAACTTGTTCCTGTTAAGTATGATAAAAAAACATAAGTAAGACCATTTCCAGCATCAAAGGAGTATAGGGCTGCCCTAGAGAACCAACCAAGCCTTGGAATACTGCTTTTAGAAGATAGTTCTCTTCTATGCTTATGACTGATGATGGCGTGTTTTGCTTTTGTTCTGGCTGCTTTATGTCGTTTGGAGTGTTGGTGACGTTTGAGGTTGAATATTTTGTCTCAGTAAATGGTCTCTGGCACAGGTTGAAAAGGAGAAGTGTACTGGTAGCTCCTACTTGGTATTAAGTAATTTTTCAATCTGTAGTGAATGATAAACTGTTATGCATAAATGCCAGAACAGATGATTTCGTGCTGAACCAAAGAAAAGCTAAACAAGCCGTAGTGTAGCAGTATATGGTTGTGTGCTTATTAGCATGCTTCTATCCATCTAAGTTATTTATCAGGATTTTTTGTTCCTTTCTAGCCTTATTGGAAAATCCCACTACACAAAATTAGAGTTACAGTAAGAATAGGGACAAACCTTGGAGGTTAGATCGATCTAATTTTCTTGTAATCTGAAACCTTGTAATTGGAAAAAACTTGTCTCTCAAGTGTCAGGAGCGAATATTTCTTCTCAATTTTCTACCACTGGCAGCTAATAAATTTTGAAGGCCAATGAATTATTTTATGTATACGTTGAAACTTGTGTATGTTTGCGAAACTGCTGATTACATTAAGTATCATGTTACATATGACTCGAATAACTAGTCGCCTAATTTATTTGGAACCATATCAAACGACACGAACATTAGGATAATGTCATAAAAATTGAACCACAGGAACAGTATAACATATATAAAGAAATGTGCTCTATAGGGATGGTACGCACACTTCTTTACTAATGCATTTTTCTAGTCTGATGACATTAATTGGTATATGAGTAGAACAAATTTATTTTTGTCGATTTGTTGATGCATGAGTGAGTATAGAGTGATACATGACTATTGTAGATTTGTGAGAAATGGTGGATAACGTTGGGCAGCTTCTTCCTGTACCTCCCTTTTTTTTCTTTCTGCATTCCCCCATAAACTTGATAAAATGACTGTTTTACCCTCTTCTTCCCCTGTGTTAGCTCTTGTACCCCGAGGCAGCGCATCTTCCAGCGGTGGCGGTGGCACCTCTTGTTACCTAAAAAGTTATGCATCAAAATTGTGCAAAATTCAAATTTTAGAATTGAAAATTCGCAAGTGATTGATTGGACAACAAAGTGTCAAAGTTTTGACAGTGTTCGTACATAAGTGTAAAGTAAAAAGATTTACTGTCTTCCTGTATCTTCGTGACAACTGTTCATACCGATAGATTTCAAATATGTTAAATTGCTTGTATTTGTTGATTTGTAACCTATGAAAGTTAGAAAATAAATAGATTTCAAATATGATAATTAGGTGCAGGAGCCCCTCGCTTTTCAGTGACAAAATTTGTTAAAAGAGGTTGAATTGAGATATAATTTTTTTATTAATTAACCGATAAAAAATTAATACAAATTCTATTAAAATTATTCAATTTTAGAAATAAATTAAAAATTAAATAAAAAGTTTAGCTTTACATGTATCACCACGTTCAAAATCACAACGTTCAAAACACTGCTTAACGATTAAAACCATTGTATAAATATTTTAACTCAACTGTCAGCAGCACAAATACTGTATAACGTTTAGCTTTAATATATTACAATTTATTTTATATTATAAAAGTAATTTTAATTAAAAATAATAAAAACGGCTGCTTCAGTAAGCAATCAGTGCTTGGTTGTAATTTTATATTACGTTTGGTTTGCTCTTACTAATTCAATTTATAAAGTTATCTTTTTCCTCTAAATTATGACATGCTTTGCAATCAAAATATGAGATAAATTAATTTGTATATAGGTAATAGTTTCAACAGTTATGAGTTAATAATATGGAAAGAATAAAGGATATAACAAACTAAATATTGGTATAGGAAACATGTTTCTTCAAAGCATGACATAGATTTGTCTCTCAACCTTCAAATAATTCCTATATAAACATATCATTTGATCTTATGATTATGATCATTTTACAGCGACATTAACAGATGATTATGATCATTTTACAGTGACATTAACAATAATCTGACACCTTCATCTGATAAAACACTAAACAACGACACCTTTCAAATGAGACAAAATCAAGACATCACATTCAATATTGTTCCAACTTGATGCAGACCCTTAAGCTCAGGTTTATTTATTAACAACTAAAATTGCATAATCTATCAATTTCTATCATCACTTAATTATAATGAACAAAAACTGATGTTAGGTGAGTATTTCAGACTTTGATAGATCACGATAGCATGAGCTCTAGTTAATCACATATCTACTCATTTTCTTACAGACCATTAAAATGCTGCGTTCTATCCATCACTAACATATCCCTGTACAAGCTTTTGACTTACATTATATACAATGACAGCAGAAAATTCAATAAATCCGAGCTACTTGCTTAGAAGAAGGTGGCGAGCAAATGCCTTGCCAAAGGGCCCAATATCAGAAAATTACAGAATAATTACACAAGTATTCAAGATTAAGCACTTCCCGAGCTCCAATACTTGATCTTCATCACCACACATCATATGCTATGCACTAGCCAAAAAAGAAGTTAGAAAAAACCATGAAATTCAACAGCTATTACATTATCTTCAATACCTTGACAAAATGTTCACATAGCAAGCACTTTCACAGTTCCACAAAATTTGGTGAAGTTGAAACCTTAGGAAAACCATGGTTAAGTCTGCAAAACCAATGTTGTCAGGAATGAGAGCCTGCAAATATACTATATATTACAAAAAGGCAGAAAACAAGGGAAAAAACCTACAAATAACAGTAAAGCAAACCTAACTAAAATTTCATAATCATAACATCCAAAACAACTCATAATAATAAGTCACACAATAGCCACCAGCTCCAGCCGTACTATGACCTTGCCCAAAAAAAAGCCATTTTTCAGTTATTAAAAAGCTAACCAAAACGCTCGACCAGCATCAGAAATGGGGAAGATGTGAGAAGACAAGCACGAAACTCACAAGACAGTAAAAGAAAGGTCAAGGGGGATGGGGAAAGAAAATTGAATACAGCAAGGCAGATATGCAAGATAGCAGCCGGAATGACCTGCAAAAGGATTGACCACAGATGTGAAGGGCTTGACCAGGAGATGGGTCTGTTTTGGAACTTAGTATTTAAGATCAAAAACTTAAATAATACACCGAACATTTCTTGCTACTTGAATTGGAACTTAGTCACCTCATAATACTCGACTCTATCAAAAAATATATAAAGGTCTTGTGTATATAATGAGTAAATAGCCGTAGTTGTTACCAATAAAGTGCTATGGTGCCCTAATCTATTGTTGGAAACTTAAAAGAAATCACTCTTGGCTTGTCACCAGTTAGCTGTCATAANTATTCTTCAACCTGAAGTTTTTTTGCAGGATGAAATTATGTTCTAAGCCCAAATTTTAAAATGGTAATAGAATCTTAGGTATAATGTTGGTTCACCTACATTTCTCATGCTCCAAGTAAATAAATAGCCTTGGGTGTTGGAAACTCCCCTTAATGGCAGTCTCTGCTAGCCTGCTGTTGTTGGGATATCTTTGAACTTCTTTAATTGCAACGTGAAGTTTAGCCTCACTTCAATTAGACATTTAACTTAAATAGATCTTACAAAACTTTAAAATCCTTATCTTATAAGTTGGTTTGGAGGAGTTAAGTTAGACCTAAGCCAAGTTCTAAGACCCACCTATTTGTAATAGGAAATTTCTGAAATGCAAGCTAACAAGCTGTCATCTCATAATTTAATAACAATTGTTTTCACACTGTTGACATATATGATTAGATGCCACTCTTGTACGAAACCAAATCTACAAATTAAAGAGAGACCACGAGAAACTAATTGTGTGAGATCTATTCAAAACATGGCCTGTTACAGCCTAATGTGACCATTTCACTCGTTGTGTTGTAGATTTTCCAATGATTTTCGGAAACTGCCACAATTACAATATTGTGGTTAGATCAAGTGATGTGTTTCACAATTGAAACCATGGTGTGGGGTTTATAACAAGGCCTCGGATTCTTTTGCTATAATGTCTAACTTTTGTTATGTGATTCTCCCGAGGTTCTTATGAATCAATATTAAAGCATTCCGCCATATCTCTCAGTTGCCATTGAGCAACGTGGGTAGTGTGACATTGGCATTGTAGTGTCTGTCGTTGATTATTAGTCAAAAGACCATTGTACAACCAACATGTGAGGGCACCAGCGCTGCAGAACAGAACATGGTTAGATGCTAGGAAACAATCGCAAGGAATGGAACTTAAGTCCTACATTAGAAATATAAGATTCTAATGTGGGGTTATCTAAGTGATCATGACTCTTCCAATATCAGCAACCCAACCCAATCCAAAATTAACCGCCACAGATTCAAGTTTTAGAAACTAGACCTGATGTATTTCATAGAAAAGTTCAAGCTACACATTCGGTGGCCACAGTTCAGTCCAATATCATAATTTTTTAAACAATAATGTATCAAAGATTTAATAACAACCACGCCTAATAACATTAACTAGCTAATTATGTACGAAAAAGTTGTAATTTTGCTAAATCTGATCATTTTGGAAAAAATACAAAATAAGAATTTGTTGCTGACAATGGAAGAGTAATTGATAAGCAATCTAAATTGGCTACTAAATTATTTGGGAGGGGGGACTTGGGTTTTTGACAATTAAAGTCACAAGGTAGCAGGGATAAACGATGAAGTTATGCCATAAGCAAATAGTGGACTGTTTCAACAAAACATACGCAACATCTTTCTAATAGCAATTCTATGGAAGCTACAATATCTCTCTTCTGTGATGAATCACAAGTTGAATTGCTGAACTAGATGCAAAATACACAGCTAAGAATGTCTTGTATATTCATCAGTTGCTCATTAAGAAACACGTCACACATACATTAAATCACCCTCAAGCAATATTTATGACGTCTTAAATAGTAATCATATAATATTCCCTATCCACTGTTCAGTTCCTGACACCTATTTTACTTTATATAGCCACTAGCATGTATGATATCAGTAAAGGAAATAACACCAAAAAATTCAAACTGGCTCAATTCATATTCCCCCTTCACTGAGAAATAAGATTAATTTTCCCAAATCAAATAAGATCTAGAAATAAGATTAGTTTTCCCAAATCAAATAAACTTAAGCAACACAAGAATCAATTCCTCCATGTTTGCAAACTATACTGCAACAAAATATTCAAAACACAGGAAGTCAATCATCAACCTCGCTACAACATTTTTTCAGCATCCAAAGTACGCCTAGACATTTGAAATATCACAATACCTCTATGCATAAACTCACCATGATTCTAATCATAAACTCACCATGATTCGGCACACAGTTTGCATCGGAGACAGAACAAAGTACCAGACACAAAAGTAAGATGCAATCAAAGGAAGATATTCGTGAAAACAATAAAGTAGAACGATAGAAATGGGCTTTACCTCAGTTAACCATGCGCAAAAATTGGCTTCAACATATTAGAAGTGCGTTAACCTTTTAGAACTATTCAGTTACATATAGAGAGCTTCCCTGTCCACTCATCAGCTACGCCGTAATCAAGGCTGAGCTCTCTCATGGGAGGGATATTCTCCATTGCAAATAGCATAAGGTGTGGGAACATCAAATTGTTGTGATCATACAGAACAAACTGAACCAAAACATTTGGAGATGAACTATGGCTCATATAACAAGCAACATTCCTCATAGTCGACACATCCAGAGAAAAATCTAAAGGAGGAATAGATGGATATGATGGACGCACATATTTTGGATCTACTTGAGACAAATCCCCCCATTCCGCCCATCTTTCTGAAAACCTATTGGGATATATCGAAGAGTCACCATTCATTGCAAAGAGTTGCGCCTGCTCCCTAGTCAAAACAACCCCAGAAAACTCGCATATAAAAGTACCGGCTTGAATAAGGTCCAGAGACCTAACACCCCAAGATGTCTGCAGGGACCTAAACACTTCCAACCTATATTTCACTCCCTTCTGCGAAACACGATTACGACACTGAGAAGGACAAGAACAAAAAGGGCCACATTCAAAAATCAAAGGCTTCCCTTTCACAAGATGTCCCTGCAGAGTGTAANCAGTTTAGCTTAAATAAAGCTTACAAGGCTTGGATATTCTTCAACCTGAAGTTTTTTTGCAGGATGAAATTATGTTCTAAGCCCAAATTTTAAAATGGTAATAGAATCTTAGGTATAATGTTGGTTCACCTACATTTCTCATGCTCCAAGTAAATAAATAGCCTTGGGTGTTGGAAACTCCCCTTAATGGCAGTCTCTGCTAGCCTGCTGTTGTTGGGATATCTTTGAACTTCTTTAATTGCAACGTGAAGTTTAGCCTCACTTCAATTAGACATTTAACTTAAATAGATCTTACAAAACTTTAAAATCCTTATCTTATAAGTTGGTTTGGAGGAGTTAAGTTAGACCTAAGCCAAGTTCTAAGACCCACCTATTTGTAATAGGAAATTTCTGAAATGCAAGCTAACAAGCTGTCATCTCATAATTTAATAACAATTGTTTTCACACTGTTGACATATATGATTAGATGCCACTCTTGTACGAAACCAAATCTACAAATTAAAGAGAGACCACGAGAAACTAATTGTGTGAGATCTATTCAAAACATGGCCTGTTACAGCCTAATGTGACCATTTCACTCGTTGTGTTGTAGATTTTCCAATGATTTTCGGAAACTGCCACAATTACAATATTGTGGTTAGATCAAGTGATGTGTTTCACAATTGAAACCATGGTGTGGGGTTTATAACAAGGCCTCGGATTCTTTTGCTATAATGTCTAACTTTTGTTATGTGATTCTCCCGAGGTTCTTATGAATCAATATTAAAGCATTCCGCCATATCTCTCAGTTGCCATTGAGCAACGTGGGTAGTGTGACATTGGCATTGTAGTGTCTGTCGTTGATTATTAGTCAAAAGACCATTGTACAACCAACATGTGAGGGCACCAGCGCTGCAGAACAGAACATGGTTAGATGCTAGGAAACAATCGCAAGGAATGGAACTTAAGTCCTACATTAGAAATATAAGATTCTAATGTGGGGTTATCTAAGTGATCATGACTCTTCCAATATCAGCAACCCAACCCAATCCAAAATTAACCGCCACAGATTCAAGTTTTAGAAACTAGACCTGATGTATTTCATAGAAAAGTTCAAGCTACACATTCGGTGGCCACAGTTCAGTCCAATATCATAATTTTTTAAACAATAATGTATCAAAGATTTAATAACAACCACGCCTAATAACATTAACTAGCTAATTATGTACGAAAAAGTTGTAATTTTGCTAAATCTGATCATTTTGGAAAAAATACAAAATAAGAATTTGTTGCTGACAATGGAAGAGTAATTGATAAGCAATCTAAATTGGCTACTAAATTATTTGGGAGGGGGGACTTGGGTTTTTGACAATTAAAGTCACAAGGTAGCAGGGATAAACGATGAAGTTATGCCATAAGCAAATAGTGGACTGTTTCAACAAAACATACGCAACATCTTTCTAATAGCAATTCTATGGAAGCTACAATATCTCTCTTCTGTGATGAATCACAAGTTGAATTGCTGAACTAGATGCAAAATACACAGCTAAGAATGTCTTGTATATTCATCAGTTGCTCATTAAGAAACACGTCACACATACATTAAATCACCCTCAAGCAATATTTATGACGTCTTAAATAGTAATCATATAATATTCCCTATCCACTGTTCAGTTCCTGACACCTATTTTACTTTATATAGCCACTAGCATGTATGATATCAGTAAAGGAAATAACACCAAAAAATTCAAACTGGCTCAATTCATATTCCCCCTTCACTGAGAAATAAGATTAGGTTTACCAAGTTTAGGGCTTTTTTTTCCCCGGTTGCGGGTGCAGGCTAAGATGGGAAGTACTATTTTGAAGGAAGCTAGGAGTATTAGGAGGAATGAAATGGAATCGAATACTGTTCGTTGTCTTTCTGCTGATATGTCCAACAAGAAGGAGAATGTTCCTGTTCGCCTTTTTAACGACATAGATGATGATCGAGATCCTCTTAACTATGAGTATCTTGCCAGGACAAGTTTTCCACAGTTTGTGTTTCATCAGAGTGGGAATGTTACTGGTTGTGACTGTGTGAATGGTCTGTGGTGATGGAATGCTTTTTGTGCTATGAAAAATTGGGGTGATTTTTCCTTACCACTCTGCCAGGACATCTTGTGAAAGGGAAGCCTTTGATTTTTGAATGTGGCCCTTTTTGTTCTTGTCCTTCTCAGTGTCGTAATCGTGTTTCGCAGAAGGGAGTGAAATATAGGTTGGAAGTGTTTAGGTCCCTGCAGACATCTTGGGGTGTTAGGTCTCTGGACCTTATTCAAGCCGGTACTTTTATATGCGAGTTTTCTGGGGTTGTTTTGACTAGGGAGCAGGCGCAACTCTTTGCAATGAATGGTGACTCTTCGATATATCCCAATAGGTTTTCAGAAAGATGGGCGGAATGGGGGGATTTGTCTCAAGTAGATCCAAAATATGTGCGTCCATCATATCCATCTATTCCTCCTTTAGATTTTTCTCTGGATGTGTCGACTATGAGGAATGTTGCTTGTTATATGAGCCATAGTTCATCTCCAAATGTTTTGGTCAGTTGTTCTGTATGATCACAACAATTTGATGTTCCCACACCTTATGCTATTTGCAATGGAGAATATCCCTCCCATGAGAGAGCTCAGCCTTGATTACGGCGTAGCTGATGAGTGGACAGGGAAGCTCTCTATATGTAACTGAATAGTTCTAAAAGGTTAACGCACTTCTAATATGTTGAAGCCAATTTTTGCGCATGGTTAACTGAGGTAAAGCCCATTTCTATCGTTCTACTTTATTGTTTTCACACGAATTCTTCCTTTGATTGCATCTTACTTTTGGTCTGGTACTTTGTTCTGTCTCCGATGAAACTGTGTGCCGAATCATGGTGATTTATGCTTTAGAATCATGGTGAGTTATGCATAGAGGTATTGTGATATTTCAAATGTCTAGCGTACTTTGATGCTGAAAAAATGTGTAGCGAGGTTTGATGATTGACTTCCTGTGTTTTTTGAATATTTTGTTGCCAGTATAGTTTTGCAAACATGGAGGAATTGATTCTTTGGTTGCTTAATTTAAATTTGATTTGGGAAAACAATTTATTTCTTTAGATCTTATTTTGATTTGGGACAAGTC